AAAAAAAAAAAAAAAAAAAGAGGGAGAGACAGAGGAAAGCTCTAAGCTAACAGAACTTCAAAAGCTAACTGGCCTAAAGCCAAGCTGCCTGGAAACAACCATATATCCATTAGTACACTTGGAAGAAGGCATCACATTATGGGACAGGGGATGAAACCTCAGGGGTCAGGCAGATAACAGAACTGGAAAGGACAGGCGAGAGAGGAATATAACAAGATGACGCTGGCATGGCTGCTGAGTTCCTTGGCTCGAGCTGATCTTGTCATGCACGATGCAATTCCAGCACTGCCAGATCTCCATTTTTGTTGTTGTTGTTGTTGTTGTGTTTTCCAAGAGAAGCCAGGAATCTAAATTTTTATGTCGAATCACTTTTTTTTTTTTTTTTTTTTTTTTTTTTTTTTTTTTTTTTGGTAAATGCTGGCACCACATTTAATTTAAAAGGAAAAGGGAAAAAAACACCAGGTGAAGGGAAGCCTGCCTGCAGGCCAGATGTTGCCCCAGTAGGGCCATGGCTGCTGGTGGTAAGACCGTTCTGGGACACAGAAGATGGATGATGATGATGATAATGGTGCATCACCGTCGTGAGGCTCACCTGCTTCCTTGTAATCACTGCAAGAGGCAGAAAGGTGTCGCACATTAAGACCCTCTTATCCCAATAGATCAACAGTATCTCTTAACTTCCTCTGGCCCCTTCTGAGAGCCTAATAAACCCTACAGACTACCTTCCAGAAACATACATATACCATACACAAACACAAGCGTGGCATGAAATTCGGACTTCCCGAGGCATCTCTCCAAACTCCGGTTGAAGACCCAACTTTTTCTTCAGAAACCTCAGCTCTTCAGAATGACTCAGTCCCTATGGGAACTCCAGAGGTTTTGCTGTTCTTTTCAGTTCTATGGTGTTCTATTGTTTGTAAACTGGTTTGTTTGCTGTTTTGTAGATTTTCCCAAACCCAGGCATTCTTCCCATTCGTTTTTGAACTAAGTGATTATTGCTTCTCCCTCCTCCTTTTGGCTAAGATCAAGTAAACTGGGTAATTAACAGTTGTAGTCCGGGCATGTTGGCTCACGCCTGTAATCCAAGCACTTTGGAGGCCAAGGCAGGCAGATCACCTGAGACTGCGAGTTCAAGACCAGCCTGACCAACATGGTGAAACCCTGTCTTTAAAAAGAAAAAAAACAGTTGTAATTTCCTGAACAGAAGTATATCCATATGAATGGAGCATGAGGGGTGGGAATAGAATGATTCTCCTCCTGGTAATCCTGTCCACTTCTGCTTCTACCCCCTTATCTTTCGAGCCTTTGAGACAGGGAAAACAGTGAAGACAACAGTAGCCTAGAGCTGCTTCTAACTGCCTGTAGGCTGCTGCTGAGAGCTAGCCGTGTTTCCTGAGAACAGCTGTAAACATTCTTAGGAGCTGGAAACCTTCTCAAAGAGGCCTTTAATTATTGCCAGTGCCGGAGGGTGTTTTTACCCAAATCAGAACACTACAGCTTGTAATTTTGGTGTCAGAACTAGATTTTATCCCTGAAGAGGCACTTCCTTCCTTTAAAAGTACTGCTTTTTGAAATTTGTGTAAGTAACCCAAATACATACAGGCAAGTATTATAACAGAAAAGATTCTTTGGTTTTGTTTGTGGATGTAGACCCTATCACTGTTAGCTTTAGCTTTTTGAATTTAGGGAGAAATGAAACTAGCAAAACTCCTCAAACTCCATGCAGTTTCTTCTCTTTTTTTTTTTTCTTTGAGACGGAGTCTCACTGTGTCACCCAGGCTGGAGTGCGATGGTGCGATTCTCATGCCTCAGCCTCCTGAGTAGCTAGGATTATAGGCACCCGCCACCACACCCAACTAATTTTTGTATTTTAGTAGAGGCAGGGTTTCATCATGTTGGCCAGGCTGGTCTCGAACTCCTGACCTCAGGTGATCCACCTGCCTCAGCCTCCAAAGTGCTGGGATTACAGGTGTGAGCCACTGTGCCTGGCCGATTACTCCCATCTTTACGATCATCTTTTACTGTGAATAGATTTATTAATTTAGTTATATTTTTTAAATTTATGTTTATCTTATCTTCACCTAATTATCTCTTTTTTTTCTTTAAGATGGGGTTTTACCATGTTGGTCAGGCTGGTCTTGAACTCGCGACCTCAGGTGATCCGCCCGCCGTGGCCTCCAAAGTGCCTGGATTACAGGCGTGAGCCACCACGCCCAGCCAAACCTAATTATTTTTTTATTGCTTAGACGAGTAATCTCCATTCCACTTTTAACATGGGACTTAAAATTTAGCTGTGTTTATTCCCGGAGTTGAAGCTCTCCCGCTGTGTTTAGCCACAAGTAAGATATTTTTTTTACAACTGTATGTATTTTTTTACAATTGTTATAAAAATCACGTTTCCGTTAAAAAACAACTAGCTAAATGCCAAAAACCAAAACCAAAACAAGTCACTCGTGATCCTCCCCAATTAAACACACCTACTACTAACTCTTTATCTTCCGTTCTCTGTTTCTAGATTTGTTTAAAATATGGTGTTTTTATTATGTAAAATTTTGTACCCTATGAAGGGCGATAAAATTCTCTAATTGCTGTATTTTAGAAATAAAGTGAATTGGGCCAGGCTCGGTTATTCACACCTGTAATCCCAGCACTTTGGGAAGCTGAGGCAGGCGGATCACCCAAAGTTAGGAGTTCAAGACCAATGTGACCAACATGGTTAAACCCTGTCTCTACTAAAAATAAAAAATTAGCCAGACGTGGTGGTGCATGCCTGTAATCCCAGCTACTGAGGAGGCTGAGGCAGGAGAACTGCTTGAACCTGGGAGGCAGAGGTTGCAGTGAGCTGAGATCCAGCTATTGCACTCCAGCCTGGGCAAGAAGAGAAAAACTCTGTCTCAAAAATAATAATAATAAATTAAAAGTAAAATAAAAGTCAATGCTACCATTTATGGTAGACTTACCATGTGCCAGGCTTTGTACTAGGCACTTGACTCACCCTCTCCGTTTTTTTTTTTTTTTTTGCTTGTCCAGAAACCCGGAGGCATTCTCTTATTTACTGCTGCAAACCTCCCACAGTGGTTAAGTACTATCACAGTCCCCCATGTATACACGAGCAGCTGAGGCTCACTGCTGGTAAATGGCAGAGGTGGGGTGAGAACCCAGGCAGCCCAGCTGAGAGACCTGTGTTCCTTACCACTGTGCCTCCAGAGCACAAAGTGTGAGCCCTTCCCTGCATGGTCAGTGAGTGCGATGGAAAGCGATTTTCTTTATTTTCCTTCACAATAGCAAGATTGAGAAACTCACCAGCAATAGTATGAATCTCATTTCTATAGCCCATATTCACACCATACAAATTCCGAGTAACTTTCCTTCACTGTCTCTAATCCTCACAAGAAATATTGATGGTTTCTGTACTGTGACCACCATTTCACAGTTGAAGAAACTTGATGGGAGAGCTCGAGTAACTTCTGCCCAGTCACAGAGCTAGTGACTTGGGGAGTTAAGAGTCTAACTCCAAGATCTTCTGTGTCATACTACCTCTCAAAAACAAACGAAAAAATCTATGACCCAGATAAAAACAAGAAGAGAATGGTCCTTTGTCATTTGCATATTAGTAATGTTAGCATGTTTCTGTGGCACCGAGCTGGCTGGATCTAGATGGCATGAGATGGATGTTTGGGTTGATTTGGGGGAAAAGGGTATTATTGAGCCATGGCAGATTTGGCCTAGCACAGCTGGAAAACAAATCTCTTCACTCGTTTCTTGGAATTGCTTCCATTAGAGCCTCTGAAGTCAAATATTTATAAAATATGATTGCCTAATGGGAAGGCAGATTTGTGTGCACAAAAAAAAGTGTTATTTACAGGAAGCATATCTGTTGTTACCAACCCCAGACATTTTGCCAGGCCAAGAAGCTGGTTTATTTAAAATCATACACCTGGAAAGGTATTTGGAAATTTAATTGAGGCCAGGCATGGTAGCTCACACTTGTAATCCCAGCATTTTGATAGGCCAAGGCCAGCAGATCACTTGAGGTCAGGAGTATGAGATCAGCCTGACCAACATGGTGAAAACCCATCTCTACTAAAAATACAAAAATTAAAGCCCCTTGCAGTGGCTCATACCTGTGATCCCAACACTTTGGGAGGCTGAAGAGGGTGGATCACCTGAGGTCAGGAGTTCAAGACCAGCCTGGCCAGCATGGCGAAAACCATCTACTAAAAATATAAAAATTAGCTGGGCCTGTGGCAGTCACCTGTAATCCCAGCTACTCGGGAGGCTGAGGCAGAATTGCTTGAACCCAGGAGGTGGAGGTTGATGTGAGCCAAGATCATGCCACTGCACTCCAGCCTGGGCGACAGAGTGAGACTCCGTCTCAAAAAAACAAAGGGAAATTTAATTGAGAATACTGAGACCAAGGAAATTTTATTTTCTAAGGAAATAGTGAAGGAGAAGGATTCAGAGTTCTCTGCCCACATCCTTCGAGTCTATTGAACCTTCTACTACGCGTGTCATTTTGCTTTACTGCTTTTGAAAAGTATAACAAATAGGCTAGAAATTCAGTGCCGATTATGTGCTTTATGGTATGTGGATTTTAATAAATTTGTCACATTTTAAAATTAGAGTTTCAGCCTGGGCAATGTGGTGAAACCACATCTTTACTAAAAATAGAAAAACTTAGCCAAGTGTAGTGGTACACACCTGTAGACCCAGCTACTCAGAAGGCTGAGGAGGAAGGATCATCTGAGCCTGGGGAGTCAAGGCTACAGTGAGCTGCGATTGCACCTCTGGACTCCAGCCTTGGTGAGAATTAATGAATTAATAAAAATTAGAGCTTTAGTATTACAACTCCTTCAGAATTTGTTTAGAAGTTTTTCTGGTTTCTATCAGAAAGCCTCCCATGCCCCCCCTAAAAAATTAGAGCTTTAATAGAATGACAATACTTTTATATTAACTACTCTTCAAACTATTTGCCTTATTTTTGTCACTTTTTTTTCTAGATTAATGATGTTTTACAGCAGTTTTCCACATCTGAAATTTTCTATGTCTGTGGATCCCAGAATTTGCTAAGAAATGGAGGAACCTCAGAAATGCTATCTGAACACAGTGGACCTTGAGAAAGATGACCCTCTCAAAAGCACCAGCCCTCAGATTTCTGTTAGTGAATTTTCTTGCCACTGCTGCTACGACATCCTGGTTAACCCCACCACCTTGAACTGTGGGCACAGCTTCTGCCGTCATTGCCTTGCTTTATGGTGGGCGTCTTCAAAGAAAACAGAATGTCCAGAATGCAGAGAAAAATGGGAAGGTTTCCCCAAAGTCAATATTCTCCTCAGGTAATGCTCAGCCTGTATTGTTAGCACAGACAGCCCATAAAATGTGGTTTCGCGCTTGTTTTGTTTTGAGTTGGAGTCTCGCTCTACCCCTTAGGCTGGAGTGCAGTGGCGTGATCTTGGCGGCTCACTGCAGCTTTTGCCTCCCGTGTTCAAGTGATTCTCCTTCTTCAGCCTCCTGAGTAGCTAGGATTATAGGATTACAGGCGCATGCCACCACACCTGGCTGATTTTTGTATTTTTAGTAGAGACAGGGTTTCACCATGTTGGCCAGGATGGTCTTGAATTCCTGACCTCATGATCCACCGCCTTGGCATCCCAAAGTGCTGGGATTACAGGCATGAACCACCATTCCCTGCCTGCTTTTTCTTTTCTTTTTTTTTTTTTAAGAGAAATGGGGTCTGACTATGTTGCCCAGGCTGGTCTCAAACTCCTCACCTCAAGTGATCCTCCCACTTCAGCCTCCCAAAGTGCTGGGATTACAGGCATGAACCACCATTCCCTGCCTGCTTTTTCTTTTCTTTTTTTTTTTTTAAGAGAAATGGGGTCTGACTATGTTGCCCAGGCTGGTCTCAAACTCCTCACCTCAAGTGATCCTCCCACTTCAGCCTCCCAAAGTGCTGGGATTACTTTGATGTGGGCCACCATGTCCGGCCAATGGGCTTGCTCTTATTGGGAGCAGCAGTGTTTGAAAGGTGACAGACTTGGAGATCACCTCCTTGGGGTCATAGTGGATCTGCTGGAATATGAATTAGGGAGCTCAAGGAGCTGGAAATCCAGACTCCCTTCCTCATAGGTGACCATGACTTTTTAAGTTGTTTATTATGAATGAAGGAAAGAAAGTCTGGTTAGCAGACCATTGCTTATGATCCTGTCATATAAAGGCCAGACAAGTGACGCACACCCATAATCCCAACATTTTGGGAAGCTGAGGCAGGAACATTGCTTGATACCAGGAATTTAAAAACAGCCTGGGCAACACGGTGAGTCCTCATCTTTACAGAAAGTTTTAAAAGTTAGCCAGGTGTGGTGGCACATGCCTGTTGTCCCAGCTATGCAGGTGGCTGAGGTGGGAGGATTGCTTCAACCTGGGAGGTAGAGGCTGCAGTGAGCCCACACCACTATACTCCAGCCTGGGCAACAGAGCAAGACCCTGTCTCAAAAAAAAAAAAAAAAAAAAGGAAAGAAAGCAAGCAAATGGTATAACTGTACTATACAATTGTGAATAACTGATTTGATGCTGATATTCATAATTTTTAACCTCAGTTCCAGTTATCGCATTAATAGAATTTCTCATGTATAACATCGCATTGCCAAAGCCACCTTTGAGATAGGTTGTTTTTTTCTGTTTCCTTGGCTGGTAATGTACCTGTGAAGTCTCTGAGGCTTAAATCCTCTTCCCCTCTTCTATTGTCTTAGCAATGCATGTGGCCTTCTTGATTTCAATGGAGTATTAGAAAGTTCCATGAACCCAACCTTTTCACTAAAGATGTGTTTACACTTTGTTCTTACCTGTCAGTCTTGCTTTAGCTGAAGGTTAAATTTAATCTTAAATTAGAGGAGGGTTCTTTGTATATAACTGAAAATAAAGAGCCCTACATTATAAGCTGATAGTCTTTCTCTTATTACTGAATTTTGCTTTCTTCCCTTCTTATAAATTGAATTTAACATAAGCGTGCTCTCTCTCTCTCTCTCTCTCTCTCTCTCTCTCTCCCCCTCCACACACACACACACACACACACACACACACACACACACTCACTCCCTCTCTCTCTCTCATTGTTTATATTCTTTAAGATGAAGTCTCTCTCTGTCGCCCAGGCTGGAGTCCAATGGTGCAATCTTGGCTCATTGCAACCTTCACCTCCTAGGTTCAAGTGATTCTCCTGCTTCAGCCTCCCGAGTAGCTGGGATTACAGGCGCCCACCACCACACCCAGCTAGTTTCTGGTTTTTGTTTTGGTTTTTTTTGAGACTGAGTTTTGCTCTTTTTTTTTAAAGATGGGGTTTCACCATGATGGCCAGGCTGATCTTGAACTCCTGACCTCAGATGTTCCACCCACCTCGGCCTCCCAAAGTGCTAGGATTACAGGCGTGAGCCACCGCGCCCGGCAAGTTTTGCTCTTGTTGCACAGGCTGGAGCGCAATGGTGCAATCTCGGCTTACTGCAGCCTCTGCCTTCTGGGTTCAAATGATTCTCTAGCCTCAGCCTCCCAAGTAGCTGGGATTGCAGGCATGTGCCACCACGCCCAGCTATTTTTTTTTTTTTTTGAAACAGAGTCTTACTCTGTCGCCAGGTGCCAGGCTGGAGTGCAGTGGCATAGTCTCGGCTCACTGCAACCTCCACCTCCTGGGTTCAAGCAGTTCCCCTGCCTCAGCCTCCCTAGTAGTTGGGACTACAGGCACGTGCCACCACACCCAGCTAATTTTTGTATTTTAGTAGAGACAGGTTTCACCATGTTGGCCAGGATGGTCTCCATCTCCTGACTTTGTGATCCGCCCTCCTCGGCCTTCCAAAGTGCTGGGATTGCAGGCATGAGCCGCCCTGCCTGGCCAGTTTTGTATTTTTAGTAGAGACGAGGTTTCTCCATTTTGGTCAAGCTGGTCTTGAACTCCCGACCTCAGGTGATCCATCTGCCTTGGCCCCACAAAGTGCTAAGATTACAGGCGTGAGCCACCTTACCTGGCCTAATTTTTGGATTTTTAGTAGAGACGGGGTTTCACCATTTTGGCTGGGCTGGTCTCAAACTCCTGACCTCAAGTGATCCGTCCATCTTGGCCTTCCAAAGGGCTAGGATTACAGGCGTGAACCACCGTGCCTGGCCTGGGCCCTTCTTTTAAAAATAGTGGAAAATTGGCTGGGCACGGTGGCGCACGCCTGTAATCCCAGCCTTTTAGGAGGCGAAGGCAGGTGAATCACGAGGTCAGGAGATCAAGACCATCCTGCCAGCATGGTGAAACCCTGTCTCTACTAAAAATACAAAAATTAGCGGGGTGTGGTGACACATATCTGTAATCCCAGCTACTCAGGAGGCTGATGCAGGAGTACTGCTTGAACCAGGGAGGCAAAGGTTGCAGTGAGCTGAGATCGCCCTGTGGCTCTCCAGCCTAGCAACAGAGGGAGACTCCTTTTCAAAAAAAAAAAAACTGGAAAATTACTAATAAAACTAAAGACCCCTTGACACCTCCTTTTCCCATCTTAGAATCCTTTCCTTCGTTTTTCCCCAGAGTAGTTTCAGTTATGACTTGGTTGTACTCTTGTTCAGATTTTTAAAAATACTTAAAAAAAAAAACAAAAACTTTTTAATAGAGATGAGGTCTCACTATGTTGCCTAGGCTGGTCTTCTGAACTCAAGTGATCCTCCTGCCTCAGCCTCTTACAGTGCTGGGATTACAGGCGTGAGTCACCACACCTGGCCTCAGATTTTAAAAAATACTCTTTTTTGAGACAGAGTCTCGTTCTATTGCCCAGGCCTGAGTGCAGTTGTGCAATTCCAGTTCACTACAGCCTCCTTCTCCCAGGTTCAAGCAATTCTCCTACCTCAGCCTCCCTAGTTGCTGGGATTACAGGTGCCCACCACCACGCCCAGTTGATTTTTGAATTTTTAGTAGAAACATGATCTCAGCTTACTGCAAACTCCACCTCCTTCAAGTGATTCTCATGTGTCAGCCTCCTCAGTAACTGGGATTACAGGCATGCTCCATTACGCCAGGCTAATTTTTGTATTTTTTAGTAGAGACGGGGTTTTGTCATGTTGGCCCAGCTGGTCCTGAACTCCTGGCCTCAAGTGATCCGCCTGCCTTGGCCGCCCAAGGTACTGGGATTATAGGTGTTAGCCACCGCACCCAGCCTGGCACATGTATGTTTAAAAGTATTTTTAAACCAGGCGCAGTGGCTCATGCCTGAAATCCCAGCACTTTGGGAGGCTGAGGTGGGCAGATTGCCAGAGCTCAGGGGTTTGATACCAGCCTGGGCACCATGGTGAAACCTTGTCTCTACTAAAATAAAAAATAAAAAATTAGCTGGGTGTGGTGGTGTGTGCCAGTGAGCCAAGATCAGGCCATTGCACTCCAGCCTGGGCAAGAAGAGAAAAACTCTGTCTCAAAAAACAAAAAAAGAAGAAAAAAGAAAAGAAAAGAAAAAGAAAAAAGAGAGAGAGAAAGTAATAGTAAAGAACCCAATAGATTGTTTCTAATTTTTTGCTTTTACCAACAGGACTATAATACATTTCTTGTCAATTCTCCTAGGGTAACTATATGTTATTAGATGTTGACTACCAGTTTTACAAACAACTGTCTTTTTTTTTTCTATTCTCCATAGGGATGCCATTGAAAAGTTATTTCCTGATGCCATTAGGATGAGACTTGAAGACATTCAGCAGAATAATAACATAGTCCAAAGTCTTGCAGCCTTTCAGAAATATGGAAACGATCAGATTCCTTTAGCTCCCAACACAGGCCGAGTGAATCAGCAGAGGGGAGGGGGATTTTTTTCTGGTGTGCTCACAGCTTTAACTGGAGTGGCAGTAAGTCAATCGCTGTGTTCCTCTGTGTCCCCCACACTTCACCCCCCAACCCCTGATTTCCACTGAAGTCATTTCTGTTGAAATCGCTTAAACAATTGATGTGACTGCATGTAATTCACTGTATACATTGAAATCTGCTGGGTTCTATGATTTCTTCAGGTATGTTGCTTACTCAGGTAGATCATTTAATAGTACCTAGTAAATGGAGAAAGGTGGTAGAGCTGGAATTCAAGACCAAGTCTGGCTTGGTAATAAAATCTTTTTTTTTTTCTTTTTGAGACAGAGTCTTGCTCTGTCGCCCAGGCTGGAGTGCAATGGTGCAATCTAGGTAAAAGTGTTCTCTTAGGGTGATGAAAATGTTCTAAAACCAGCTCTGGTGATGATTATACATTTTTGTGAACACGTTAAAAACCATGGATTCTGTACTTCAAATGTGTGGATTTTATGTGGATTACGTCATTTCTCTTTTTTTTTTTTC